CCCCAAAACCCCAAAACCCCAAAACCCCAAAACCCCAAAACCCCAAAACCCCGATATTTAAAATAAATATTGAAACTTTGTAAAATTTAAAATAAGAGGGAAGATGGAAAATTTGGATGACTATACCCAAATGATGACTCAAAAGGAAGAGGAGATTAGGAATCTTGCTATCCTCAAAGCAAAGAAGCTTGAGTCCGTTCTCAGGAGTAAAGATGCTGTTATTAAGGATCTCGAGAGCCAAATAGAGTCTCTGAATGAACAAGTTATAAATAACCAGACAAAGAATGACCAACTTGAAGAGACTTTAAAAGAGCATGAGGAAAAATTTGTGTAGGTTTTTAGTCTAAATCTCTCTGTAGAGATCTCAGCCAACTGTTTCAAGACAAAGACGAGCAGATAGAAACCTTACAGAACCAACTTGATGCCCTTGATAGCTCTAAAGTTCAAGAGATTTCTTCTCTAGAGCAAAACTTATTAGAAGAAAAAGAGAAATGAGATAAGCTTGAGTCTATCCTAAAAGAGCTAGAATGGGCTCATGACCAAATTAAATAAGGATCATGATGAAGAGCTTGATCTCATAAAGTCCCAAAATGATGAAGTAAAGAGAAGAGCTGAAATGCTCCAACAAGAAACTAGAGATGAAGTCGAGAAAATGTATAGAGCCAAAATCACTCAAAAAGATCTTGAAATCTCAAAAATTCAAGAGAAGCTAGACTCTGAGACTCGGAGGTATAATCAAGGTATTGCTGCTGTAGAGTTTGAGAACAAAAATTTAAGCAAAGAGATGGCTGACTTGAAGTCTAAGGTTATCTCTACACAAGCTGAAAATGATGATATGGCTAGCCAATTAACAATCAAGCAAATTGATCAAAATAAGTTAATCGAGAAACAGAAGCTCAAAATTGGGCAACTAGAGGCTGACATTGAGGCACAAACTAGCTTACATAAGGAAAGGGTCAGGGATTTGAGTCAACAAGTTGAGAAATTGTTGCAAGAAACCCATTCTAAGGATCTTGAGCTTACTTCACTCAAGGAAAGGACTCAATATGATATCAAAACTGTAGAAGAGAGGTGCAAACTTGATAAAGAAAGACTAGAGAATAATTACAAATTCCAGATGCGAAAGCAAGATGATAAAATCCTTGACCTCGAGCGAGAAGTTGAGAGGCTGCGCCTTAAAGAAGACGCCTCCACTAACAAGATAATCTCGCTAGAAAGAAGCCTAACTCATCATACTGATCGAAAGGATCAAGAATGGAAATCTAAATTTGAAGCAAATCAGAGAGAAATGATGGATCTAAAGCAATCTTTACAAGAGAAAACTAACAAAAATTATCTTATGAAAGAAAAATTAGACTCTGTAGAGTTGAATCTAGAATCAAAGAACAACGAATGCAAGAAATTAAGGTTCGAAATCCGAGAATGAGAAGACAGGATCAGAGAACTTGAGGACCAAGGTCATTCAGCTCTAAAGAAATTGACCAAAGGGTCACAAAATCAATCAGAGGTGGTGAAAAGTCTCCAAGATCGGATATTAGAGTTAGAGAAGGAGTTGAGAGAGAAACATGCATTATCGTTAAATCACAAAGAGAATGCAAATCATTTCCAAGCAAAGGAAATAGCTTTCTCAACATCAAAGAAATCAAAGAAGTCTAAAAAGATAGCATTCGATGATCTCGGACTAGACGATGATTTGTCTGATGATTCTTTGCTAAGAGATGGGTCTGAGGCTAACATTACTGAGAAGTTACTCCAAATTAAACCAGAAAGAGATGGGCCTGCAGAAAACTTCTCTCTTGAAGCTCTTCAGAAGGAAAACCAGCAGCTTAAGTTGGTCATCACAGAGATGAAAGATGAAATGGAGAAGATAGCTGGCTTGAAGGCTGAAAAGAAGATGGATAGGTCAGCTAGTGAGTTAAATTTCTATATGAATACTAACAAGAAGTTACTCAGCCAGCTCGACTCTGAGAAGGAAAGACTGGATATACTCGATAAGGAGGTTGAAATTAAAGCAAAAGAGCTTGAAATTGCAAATAGTGCTATCACGAACCTATCCAAGAAAATGTCATTGAAGGACAAAGATATAGCAATCCTCATTGAGAAATTGAAGCAACAAAAAGGTGTCATTGTTTCACTGAAGGCAGAAAGAGATAAGCTTGTAGGAATCTCTAATGATCTTAGAGAGGAATTGAGTTATAAAAATAAGCTTGGCGATTCACAATCACAGGTTTCTTTCAGAAATTTTAATGCCCAGAGTGTTGAATTAGAGAAAATTGAGGCTAAGAAGCAAGACTCTGTCAGAAGCATCACTCTTGAGTGAGTGAGGTGTAGAGAAATCAGTCAGATTCAAACTAAAAATCAAGAAATTCAATGTAATACTATCATGGAGGTTCCTAGATACAGTCAAGAAGATTTAGAAGTTAGATCAAATGATCGGTACAAGTGTAAGCCAGAAATGATGATCAGTCAATCAGTGGCACTCGATCAGAATGATGAGATCCAAAAATTGAATGATGAGGTCAACCATTTGAGAGAAACAGTCGAGGATTTAAAAATTGACCATATGAGGGACACCATTGAGGAGATTCGGAAGAGCGGACTTGGAGTTCCAATGTCTGAGGATGAAGAAGCCTTCAACCCAAATTCTATTGAGATGCTACTAAAGCATAGGGAAGAGCTTAACAAGGAAATCCAAGTCAACCATGGTTCATATGATTCCCGCCCAGAAAGAGATACAGGGGATTATCAAGAAGCTGAAATGCGAAAGAAAAGGAAAGATAAAGTTGTCAAAAATAGATTGGCAGAGTTGAAGAATGTTTATGAACAAAATTTAGATGAATTTATGGATGAAAGTGAGCCATCAGTTTATTAATATTCAATTATTTCCTAAATCTTGGGGTTTTGGGGTTTTGGGGTTTTGGGGTTTTGGGGTTTTGGGGTTTTGGGG